TGCCGATTAATCGGCAAATCGACCTATAGTATTGCTTATAAGACTATATTATGCGTGACGATCTACTGTATTCACATGTAATAATGTACCTGAGTGATTTTCAGACATTTCACATACCTCTTTGCTTTAATATTAGGGGAAACATTATTTCCTGATAGACAGGAGAAATATAGGGAAACTTAATTGCCGGGAACACCGTAATACCAAGCCGCTTGGAAGAAATGCGGCACACGCGAAACACCGAACAATGCCGCTTGAAAATCAAAAAACATAATTAAATCATTTGTTTGCTTTCAAAAGACTGAATTAGCAGTAAGCTAACTCTTACTGCTTTGATCGGCTTAGCCAAAGTAAGTGTACCTACGTAAACGTAATTGATGGCAGCATGATTTGGATTTTACTAAATCTTATACTGTGATAGAAGCTGACATAACAATAAACCGCAATTTCCAGCCTCAACTGTTAGTTTTAATTTTGGGCTGTCAGTCAGGGGCGGTCACTGATGATGTCATTTGGCACCGGTACCATGTTTTACGCCAGTGGAAAACCGACATGAAAGAAGTACCAAACTTTCGGCACTTTATGGAAGTACCGAAAGTACGGTACCTGGTGCGGTGGAAAAACGCCCTTGGTTTGGCATTTCAGGTACTGGAACTTTTGGTACTGGTACTCAACCAGAAGTCAATGGAAAAGGGAGAGTACCAAAAGTACCGTACAAAGTATGGTACCTGGTGCGGTGGAAAACCGCCCATAGAAATTAATCTGGTAATTACAGTATTTAAGTTGAGCTAATTTTGTTTTTCAGTATAATATTTGAGAAAAGATATATAATGGAGATTAATGATGAGGCAGAGTAACCCAGACAAAGAGGAACCAGAAAGGCTTAATATGAGCAAAGGCATGGAATGATCCTAAGGCCAAATCCCAGCTAGCCTTTCTTTCTGCCCCCAGTGGCATTTTGACAATGGAATATGGCTTAGCATGTAATAGAGCGGTGAATATGGATATGCTTACTCTCCCTCCCTTCCTCTTTCTCAGGTCATCAGCCTGGTGGTTCTCATCTGCTACGCAGCCTCGATATACTCTGGCTATGTAACTGTGGCCATCTGTGAGATGGTGTTCGCCGGCATCTTCTTCTTTGTCTTTATGATGGATTGGGACAAGCAGTTTCCATTTGTCAGCTGGGTCTGGAGCGTAAGTTGTTTTTCGTTGGAAAGGTGCCTGCAATGTACCTGTCAAATCAACGATTACTTTAATACCTGCCTGTTTAAAATGTTACATAGACCAAAAGGGAAGGATACATTCTCATTTTCCCTGCAGGACTTCTTTAGAGTTGTGGTCGGTGCTGTCCTCTACCTCATTACCTCTCTCATCTGTGTGATCAGTGGATCGAAAGATGCGGCCCTTTTAGCTGGTGGGGTAAGAGTTTACCACTGTCCCCTGGCCTTAAACAGCCAGGCCCATGACATTACTTCAGCATACTTGTTTCTGCCTGCCCCTGTCCTACACATATGTAATGCATTCTCTACATTACTGGCTGCTCCCTTCCTCAAGGCCTACTTCCTTCAAATGGGCATGACCTTTGTACTCATGACCATGATAAGGAAACGCAGTAGGGAAAGCAGTCTGGCCCTCAGAATCGCCTGGTGGAGATTCACCACCACAGCCTAACTGGGGTTTTTAGGACGACTAAGCTTCTTTTCCCTGAAATGCATGCAGAGAGGTGAAGTCGTCCAGTAAACATGCTGATTGTTGTTCTCTCTCTCAGGTGTTCGGTTTGCTGGCTACTGTCTTATTTGCATATGATAGTTACCTCTCCTTCACGGCCCTTAAGGACAGACGTCAGCAGGTCCCAGCTACCACGGTATGGCTAGTGTGTTGTGTCAATGGCTGTGTCCAAATTCAGGGGTTGCATCCTTCGAACGACGTGGTCTTGGTAGTCTTTGTAGGCTGTGTCCTTCAAAGGTTCGTGCAGTTAACCTTGGGATTTTGGCAAAAGAATAATGCATCTCTGGGTTGCATATGAAGGAGCCTTCAAAATGGGATAACCTTGTTGTGCTGCTGTGACACATTCCGTCTTCAAAAGCAGTCTTTGAAGGATGCAGCCCCTGAATTTGGACAAAGCCAATGTTCTTTGGTTGACTGATGCTATCATTAGCCTCTTTACCTGGTTAGTTTTAAAATGTACACCCTTGCAATTTTAGCCGGCAGCATGTCCCTGATGAAGGTGAACTTGATTTTTTACCTGACCAGCTATGCATGCAGTAGCTAACATATAACTTTTTTAACGTATTACTCCAGAAAATCTAGTGAGATGAATGGGGAGTGGAAAGGATGTAAATCAAAGTGAAAATAAACCATTTAATCTGTAGACAGTAACTTACATTTCTTCCAGGATTTCCCTGCAGCCTTGACTGCAATATTTAATCCAAGTCCTCCATCCAATACTGATTGCTAACCATCAGTTTTTCAAGGGATGTATTTGTTGTCGGTCAAGAATTTAAAGCAATTTTTCGTCTGCCTCTGAAAATATTAGCAAATTTAAATGTACACTCCGCGGTCTGTACGATTGTTACGTGTACCCTTCAAGTCCAGTATAGCTGATTTGACCTTCCAATAAAGCACAACAAAGATTGACATAGCAAATTTACTAAAGCATACACACCCCAGCACTCAGATAGGTAATATGCACCATTAAATCAGTACGGGCAGCAGAAATTACTCAGCATTTTAAAGACCATTCTTTTCTTTTGCAGGTGGCATAAATAAAACACCCATTTGAAAAAACAACATGGACAAAGCAAAAGATGGCAAGACCACAGCTGAGGATGGACACAAAATGGGCAAAAAGTGGTGCTTAGAATAGTATATAGTAGTAGTTAGCAGAATGGAATGGAATGGTTAAAATGATCCATAACCTGGAGGCAATCATGCCACATTTTCAGAGAGATGCTCCATGTATATTTAAATGTTTGAACAATGTATGTATTCACTAGCCTGAAGGCTGCTTCCTGCTGTTGTAGTTTATAGAAACCTTGTCTCAGTCCCTTTGTTTTATATCCAGGCGTATTATGTACAGGATAATGTATGACAGGCTCTTAAGGTATAGAACCACAGTGTTTATAAAAACATATAATGCACAGCTTGGAGTTCATTAACCCTCTTATACCACGGTCACAACACATTTGGTTTAACATTGGACATTATTTTCACAGTTACGACTTGAAAACACAATTAATACAAATACTATAGAAATATTTTCTTGCTCCAAAGATAAAACATTTCCATATATTTTCTTGTAATTTGAAATGTGCCCTACATCTGGAATTTAAGTAACATTAATTAGAATTTAGGATTATAATTTACTTAGTGCCTGCCAGGCAAATTACATATGTGTACAGTTGTAGAAAATTAAACACCATTCTAACCAATCAGGTTCGATAATTCAACAATGCCGTGGTATAAGTTTTGTTATTCTGACTCCTGTGCATAAAAACATATATTTTGACCATTTTACATTCAGTTTGTTTTGAGAAAGGATACAAAATATTATACTTTAAAAGGTGTCTCTTTTTACTCTACATTTTTACAGCAACGTACACTGTCAGTGGTCTTTTTTATGCGCAAAAGAAGAGAGATTTACGTGTTTTCAAGAACCTTGTTCATGTGTTTTTGAATTTTTTTTATTTTTTTTGGTTTAAAGATATTTATGATTCACATAGAATACGTTCAAATTACTGTAGTCTGGATAATAACATGCTTTTGAAATCCAGTTTGTGTGTCTTATTTTTTATATGATGGAATATGATTAGATATGGGCCAATCCACATTTTTTCAGTACTGATCTGATTTTATACACAACTGCCTATACTAATATAAATTCCAATACGAGAGTTCTTTGTACTTTAATATTTTAATATAATAAATGAATATATAAATATTAATATATTATTATATAATATAATTATTATTTTAAAACTAGTAAATACAACTGAAAAAATGTATGCTGAAAAACCTCTAATTATGCTACTAGAAACATACATAACATATTGTTCCAACTTATGATTCCAAATTATGATGTAATTAATTCCTTAACACATCAGTCGGAATGGTGCAGTTAATTGACCTCACCTACTAATGACTTAAGTTTGTACCTCAGTAACCCATAAATTAAGATAACACAAAACCTGTTTAGGTCATTAAGTGTCATCAGGGGTGCTGTAAGGAGGGGGGGGAGAGTTAGGATGATTCCAAGGGCCCCAGATTGACAGGGGCCCTAAAAATTAGGAAAATAACTGAGTTGTTTTGGAATGGGGGGGGGGGGCAACATCTTTAGCAATGCCCTTGAGGGTCATCATATGATCTGTGAGGCTTGGGTAATGTAAAGTTTATAATTAACACCATCAGTCAAAATGGATCTTCCCATACTTTGTTGACTTAATTTTAAATGATGATCATCCCATTTTTAGTGTTAACAGTTTATTATTATTTTGTTTTTTTATCTTTTAATTGCACAAAATCTTCATGTGTTCATGTCGACTAAAGTTTTGAATACTTCTTACCAACTGAGAATTTTTTTACAATGTTTATTTGACAACAAATAGGTAACTCCCCATCTTGTAATTAACTACAAGCTAAATTTAATATGCCAACCCAGGACAAGTGATACAAGGCACAAGCTACTCTAAATGACAAAACAAATTGCTGTTGTATAACACATACCCATTTTGTGTAGTAATTACTTGACTAATGTTTGTTATACAGAGTACAGCATAGTTCTTTCAGAATCAGTGGAGCTGTACCATGAAACATTTTATAAATTAAACAGTAAGTTTGCAAAGTGAACATAAGTCAATGCTCTGAAAGATCTTCCTAAGTATAGAACAATGAATAGTAGCTGGCTTTTATCTTAAATCTTCAGCAACTGATTATTGTCCCAACCTTCTTGTAGTGGTATTTTACTTCTTAGGACCAACATGATAAATGATCATCTCAGAATAATCATGGCATCCATGTATAGTTTGCAAGTGTCTCTAGGTAGCTTGAAAATATATCTATACATTTACAGTGGTACCTCAGAACTCGAACTTAATCCGTTCAGAACTCGGGTTCGAATCCTAAAAAGTTCGAGTTTTGATCGAATTTTCCCCATATGAAATAATGGAAAACCAATTAATTGAAATCTGCATTAGCATAATTTCAAACTTATGCTGGACTTTTATTTTTAATTGATTGATCTTTTTTCTCCCACAAGTGGTGAAATTGCACCATTTGTATTTTGTAATTGCATTTGTTTAGCTCAATTAGAAAAGGGAGTTGTATTTCAAATAAAGTTTGAATCTGAACCTGTGTAGTTTGAATGGGGGGGGGCTTCAATAATGTTCCTTTCTAGAAAAGGGGGGCCCTGCAGAGAAAGTTTGGGGACCACTGGATTAGAACAACACTGAAGCTACTGGTGCCAACAAAGCCCCCTAGGGAACCAACAATAAAAAAAAGAGATAATTGACTCTGAAAACACAACTCTTATAACATTGCCTTATTATGTATTGGTTTAATGTTTAATCTGTTTAGTCTCTGAAGAATGCCAGGGATCTGTCTTTGGGATGTCATGTGGAGGCCTCATGGCTGGAGGAATTATGTCTCTACAAAATGAATTGGAGTAACTGAACTTAGAGAGATTGAAGTCTGGTCTCATCTCATTGGTGTGCTGCCACTGCAACATTCCCCAGAAAAAGCAGACTGGAAAACTATGGGTTGAAGGATGGATAGCTTATTGTATTCAATTCAACAGCAATCTGTTTTTAGTTAAGGTTACAATGGGCCAGTGCAACCACAGCTAATGCACAGCTATGTAAAGTAAATTATGATTTCATAAGTGTTTGCGGTGTTCAAGGTGGATGGACTCAAGCATCACATCAATGAAAATGGCACTGGGAAACCTAAAGACCAAGGCAGAGGAACACAATCGACTTATGCTGTTCGTTCAAGCTTTCCCAAGTTAGAAGGAGTCACAGATTTCCACAAGGTGGCAACAGAGGCTGCTTGTGTGGGAGCTGAGTACCTCCCTCTTCAATGCTAGGTAAAGAGCCAAGTCACAGGACAATCCTGTGTAAGTTAGAAATGCACCACTTATACAGATGTACTTCTTACAGAGGTATTTGGTGAAATGGAATACTTGAGGAGGTTCCTTATTTAAACTGGCATGTAGCTTTGACTGTCTCCTTAACCATCAATCTAGCCCACAGCTTATGTGAAGTCACCTAATATTGTATGAGGTGCCAGTCAGTTTAATGGCTGATCCTAAATAATTAAATCACTGATCACAATGAATAGCAGAGTACAAAGAATCGAGGCCTGGGGTTGCTGATCTCTGCTGAACTCCCAGTTAGAGACAGGCACCTTAAGTTGAGCACACATAGAGAGACACATATATTGTGAGATGGACCAGCAAATACAGCTACTGCAGAAGAACCCTAATGGACCCATTGCCTCAACATGCAGTACAATAGGATCTCATTTTTGATGTATTATAAGAAGACCCAGTGCATTGGAGAGACCAACCAGCAACAAGGTGGATGCACTCAGGTATCACCACAGTGAGCAAGACACTGGGAAACCTGAAGACCACAACAGAAGATTGTGGAGAACATTCTGGAGAAAAAACATCTATGTGGTCTCCAGGAGTCAACATCATCAACTTGACAGCACCTATTAATAACAGATATTGTTTAATATACCACAATAATTTATTAATATGGTTTATGACCTCCTTTTGCAGCCAATACAGCATCAAATTGTCTTGGGAATGTCAGATACAAGTCCTGCACAGAGGCCAGAGGGATTCTGAGTCATTTCTCTTGCAGAACAGTGGCCAGGTCACTATGTGATGCTGGTGGTGGAAAACGTTTCCTGACTCGTTCCTGCAAAACACCCAAAAGTGGCTCAATAATATTCAGATCTGGTTACTGTGCAGGTCATGGGAGATGTTCAACTTCACTTTCATGTTCATCAAACCACTCTGTCACCAGTCTTACTGTATGTATTGGTGCATTATCGTCCTGATACACAGCACCGCTTTCAGGGTACGATGTTTGAACCACTGGGTGAACATGGTCCTCCAGAACGGTTTGGTCCTTGGCACTGACATGCACATCTAGAACAAGTAGTGGGCCTAGGGAATGCCCTAATATTGCAGCCCAAACCATCACTGATCCACCATCATGCTGCACTCTGGGTATGTAACAATCCAGGTGCTAAGCCTCGCTTCTCCTCACCATAACTCTCCCGGATGTGGGAAAGACAGTGAAGGTGGACTCATCAGAGAACAATATATGTTTCATGTTGTACACAGCCCAAGATTTGCACTACTGTTACCATTGAAACCAACGTTTGCATTGGCCTGAGTGACAAAGGTTTGGCTATAGTAGTCCGACCATGAATATTGACCCTTTGGAGCTCCTGATGAACAATTTTCTTGGAAACAGGAGAGTCAAGGTACACATTTAATTCTGCAGTAAGTTGAGAAGTTGTGGTTTTATGTTGTTGCTTTGGAACTTTGGTAAATAAATAATAATGCTTTTCAAAGAATCATTTTGGGATAACTGCTCAAAAATATTAAAACTCTGCATGATTCATCACTCCAACGTCTTTCTGAAAACGCTGAATGAAATTAAAGAGAATATAAAGATTATATAGCACGTATACGCGCCCCTCCTAATTAAGCTATGTTTCCCTATCCAATTCACTACATTTCACTACATTCTTGTACAGTTGTACTTTTAATGTTTTATACTGAACTCTAAAGCAGGGGACTGTTTAGTTACACCGATGCTTTAGTAACATCAATTTTACATGTCATCATGCTGCTCCACCTTTATTTTAGTTTTGTATTAACTCATTAGTTAATGCTTACATATTCGTTGAACCGTGACCCGTGCCCGTCGGTGCGCGACCGCTCCGGGATGCCAGGTGCCACCGCCATCCCCGCACCAGTCGGGTTTTTGTGCCTTTAAGATAAGAGCTCCGCCTGCCCGAGTCGGCGGCGCTCGGTAACCCAACTCCGGCCGGGAGCGAGCGCTCTGCACGGGGCGCGGAGCGCCGGGGGGCGGGGGCACGGCCTGAGCGTCATGCACGGCACTGTAAAAATACGCCGCTTCGGACAATAGGTGTAACTTTCGTGCCTGTGAGTCACTCCAAAACAACTTGGTGATACGCGAGTCCCAGGCGATTCTTTTCGCCCCATTGTCCCCCAGACATTCTTACATTTCATATCTTATTTACTTACAGAATGTCAGATGGATCTTAGGTAGTTCTCCCTTTATCAGACTGATTCCTCGGCGCGGTTCTCACCGGCGCAGTGTTACTTTTGACGGTAAGCGTGCAGCACTTAGCCGGATAGCTAACTGCCGAGCTAAGCGCCTCGTCCTCGGAAGCCCCCCTGTCATGTTCACGCGTGGATCCAAAAAGAGACGCTCCAATCGTTCGGTAAGTATTTATTTACATTTTTATACACTTTTATGACGCTGGTTTTAATACACATTTACATTGTGTATGATAAGTCTTAGTATTAACTTTTAGAATTTATTATAAAAATTCTTCGGAGACACTAACCACGACTGGACACTGAACTTTTATTATTTGGGAAGCTGCATGCTGGTTTTAAAATTCGCTTCTTATCTGTAGACCCATATCAATATAGTAATATTGGAAAATCATGTTAAATCATGTTGAATTATAGGTCTCTCTAAGAGCCGAACTTAATATTACTTTATGGAGTATGCGATTCTTCTTCTTCATATTATTATTATTATTATTATTGTCCGAAGAGTGGTCGTTTGGAGCTCATGTATACGTTTTTCAGATACATGTTGCTTCCATCGGTAGCCGCAGTAACAGTTTTCCGTAGCCTAACCTGTATTTTCCCCTTTTCTCCTGTATGCATTTGGATCATGTTTAGCTGCCCTAACTAATAAATATGTTATTTTATTATGAAACATTTTTTGGAATCAAAAGTTAGATGGAGGTTGTAACTATGAATAAATCCGGTATATGCTTCTTGCGAATTAAATGGTTTTACTCTTTTAAAGTTACTGAAAATATGTTTCCTCTAAGATTTATGTGCCGAATCAGGCAAATCCCGCCGTGACACCGTGACACTTTGCGTTCTCGGTTTTGTTGTGGAACATTTTGTATCCAAAACGTCCACAGTATATCCAGCCCAAAAGCTACTGTTTCCCATTTAGGAAGCCTTAATTGCTCCTTAAGTAGTCACTTAATCGGAGTTCAGAGTGTGTTGAATACAGCTAATTGTATTTTTCGTAAAGCGATTGTACACTTTTTCTGTCAATCACGTAAAAATCTGCATAGATTTTTGGATAGAAGTACTTGAAAGAGCATTTCTACACAAAATGTGATTACATATTTACATACTAATAGTTAATATTACACTCAGCGCTTGCATTTTTCTTTACTTGGGCATTAAAAAAGAGCAGCAGTCCCCAGCTGACAGATGTAAATTGTTTCCTCTCCATCCTGGCCTCCTGAAGCTGGTCAAGGGGCTTTTTCTCCTTCTGGTGCTGCCTGACCTTGGAAGTAGGCTGAGGGTCTGACTCCTCACTCACCACACAAAGATGTCTGACCCCTTGCTGCTCAGCACAGAAGCACTCATGTAGGCCATTCATAAGTAAGGAAATCAGATCGGGGCACCTGTTTTTGTACTTTTTAAACATTTTTTTTAATTGCTAATTTGTAAAATACCAAAAGTAGATTTTCTCATTTATTTTATTTAGATCAGACATTAAGTCTGACGTAATTATTATTAAAATATTTGAAGACAAAGAAAATTGACTACAAATTCCAGGCCATTTCCTGCTTTGTGCTCGTAGATTATGGGATAGGCTCGGTGCCCCCATGACCCTGCATAGGAAAAGCGCCCATAGAAATGTATGCATGGATGGATGGACAAGTTTTTCAATTACCTGAAAAATCAAGTCTAATTAAGGCCTTAAGCTTTTGACTCATGGACAGAAATAGTGATATGATAGCAAGTCCATCTGGTTTTCACTGTCTCAGTACCAGAGCCTCTCTCGCAGGCTGCTCTGTGCTAGTGTGGCCCTTTTCCAGGCTCCAGATACACCCTGTAGCACCAAGCCAAACGTCAGAGGGAAGATGGCTCAGTTTGATCCATGAAGTCTCCTATAAGGGAGCAGTGCGGTGCGTGACCCATTCAGCTGCCAGATTATCAGGTTCGATGGTGGAAAGCAGTCATCAACATGACCAGGTGCACCTTGCATGCTCTCGTCTGAAAGGAACTGGCCTGCTGGAAATATCGTCTTGTTGAGTTACTGCCCTTAACAAATCACTCGCCCAATAAAAAGTTCTTGCAGGGTCTCGGCAGAGCTCAAGGAGCGTAGTAGTGGACCCCGTTTTCAACCCCCCCAATAATAATAAATAAAAATATTGTTGAATTTCCTGGTTATGTGTTATAGGCTGAACTGAAAGGAGATGTGATATTTTAGCTGTTTATTTCTTTTTAGCATCTGGCATCTCATTGACTTAAAGCATTGCAAGTTTCCAGATGTGGATCTTTCTTTGCTCAGTATAAATTACTGAAGCAATGTCATCTATCACTTGTGGCTGTGTTGTGAAGGTGTGTTCTCTGATCAAATGCCTATTTAGTGATCCTCAGACTGTGAATTGCAGGTGAATTAAATGAACTTCTTAAAGCATTTAGAAAATGTCCAGCTAATTAGTGTAATCAGTCAAATTAAGATTTGGAAATTGTTTTTTCCTAAGCATGGAAAAAAATGGCACTTTGCTGACAAAATTTTGGAAAATGCAATATTGCTTCTAAGCAAAGATTCTTAAATTTTGAAAAATGTTCAGATGTCTTGCCACAGCTGCCAGCGTGTGGATTTCATCTGCACTACTAAACAAGGACGTAGAATCTTCTATGGAATGCCTTGATGTAGTTTTTGTTCATTTAACTCTATGTTTGTAATGAGGTGTTTCATAATTAAGAGAATGTTTAAGTATTAATTTGTCAATTAATATCAAAGTACTATGTGAGAGGTAAATATACAATCTCCTTAACTCACTGTTATTAACTCACTGTTCCATTTCAGCTTACTCCCCACCACTTTAAAGACGTTCCTCTTTTTAATGTGTAAGGATAAATGTCAACGGTTTTCATCTGTTTTCTAAACCACTGATTTTCTTGTTGTTGTGTTTTCTGAGAATTTGCTTAATTGTTGAATTTAAATGTAATTTTAGAGTTAAAATAGTTTCCTATGCACCATTTATGATTTGGCTTGTGGGTGAGGCAGCGCGAAACCTCTGCTTGGTTACAACGCGTCTAATTAAGTTTCAGCATTTGGGATTTTTACGACTACAGAGCTGTTCAGTAACCGCCAGAAACAGCAGCTGAATTATTGCAGCCTGCTGGACCTTAATCAGCAGCCGTACAGGATATGCCGACTTATTCGGTCATCTGAACCCTCAGTGTGAATTAGTTTGTCATCAGGTCTGGCTCTGGAGGGCAGTGAAGGTCTGGAATAATGAGGTGGGCTAATTAAGAAGCTGGCAGCTCACATTCAGGTTATGCTTTTTCATAATGTGGTGCAGTACAATGTTGAGAAAGTGTCCTTTGTGTGTCATGACTGGAGCACTGACAGGCTGCTTACGGATTGTCATTGACCGTCCTCTTAAGTAAAGGGACAAGACCCAGCTTCAGTGGAGCTGTTCGGAGGGGAGGGGAGGGGAGGAGAGGGGAGGGCAGAACTGGGGGTTTGCAGAGTGAGCTGGAGAGAGAAGGGTGTAATGTTTGCTTTACAAATTTACCTTCTTGTGTTGTGTCTTTAAAGTCAGCAGCGGTATCTGTTTTTCTAAACTTCTCAGGTGATATTAACACTTCTACAGAGTACCAGAGTCTGTGTTTTCACACTTTAAACTGGCCTATCCAGTTCTGGAAACCTTCTTTGTGCACTTTTAGTGTCGGAGTTCTCCCTGATGTGAACAGTCAAATCCGGTCAAACAAAATTTATACCTTTTAGGAAGGGTAGCAACCATCTGTTTCTCCGCGAGACTCTGAGCCGTCATGGGTCTGCCTGTATGAGCAGGCTCTCTTCTGAGTGATTTATAATCCTGCAGCACCCAACTTGTTGTTCTTCGCAAGCAGGATTGGTCTGGGATGTCAGAACTGTTTGGTGAGACTCTGGTTTGAGATATAACTTCCATTGTGGCTTTGTGATTAAAATTGCAAGGTCATCTGGAAAGCCTGAAGGATTCATCTGAAGACAGTGAGGTACTTTGATTTGGTCCAGCTGTTCACCTCCTGCGGTGCCGATTTGTCTCTTTGCGGTGCCGATTTGTAACCTTTACTTTGTGGAGTTGAACGATGTTTGGGGCTAATTAAACCTGAAAACCTGAAAGTCAGGTAGAAGCAATGTACCTTCATTCCATAGCAGGCATGATATATAGCAATTTAAATTTGGCTGTGAAACAAAAGAAGTAGAAAACACCTGATAGCACTTCTTTCTCACCATAAATTAATCATTGAAATGGGAAGTCGTGTGTTTTGTGCTGACAGTATGCTAAGTAGATATTCATTCAGTCGCTAACATTGTCTTGAAGCCAAACTAAAGGCAACACCCCATTTGACATGTTTGTAGTAGGACTAAAATACAGATTGTGTAGCTCTGAGTTAATAACATGTACTCCTTTTGATGTCATTATTTGGACACAGTATTTGGCTACTGCTTCCGATGCTTGTTAGGTGAGGTTTTTCCCTGCCTGTGGCAGAGCCTGGCTCCGGCACGCTTTTATCCAAACCCCCCAGGTTTAGACATGAGACCCTGTTGGTTCCCACACAACCCAGGCGAAGCACAGTGGAAGCACCGGTAAAATAGGACATCATCATGGTTTTGCTCCTGCCTGCGGCCATTGTTCCCGGGATAGGCTCCAGTCCCCCCCCCCCCGCGACCCCAGTTGGGATTAAGCGGTTTCGGAAAATGGATGGACAAAAGCTGATCATGTTGCACTGATTTTAGTGCCCTGACAAATGTTTAAACGGCGATTTACAGTCTAGCCGTCATTGTGATTACTGGAGGCTTTCTGGGCTAAGTGTCATGCTCTTCCCCAAAGCTCTTCATTATGGCCATGCCCCCCCCCCTGTACCGGCAGCGCTCAGAAGCTGATCCCCTGGCAGGCGAATGGGGCAGGCTGCTCTTCCAGCTCGCTCGCCACACAGGCCCTGAAACAAACAGCCCAGTGTGCAGGCTCAGCTTTGACCGTGGGGTTCGGGGGACGCAGGATGTAATAAAACAACGAAACATTCTATACGCATTGCAGGCTTTTAACGGAGGTGATAATGGGGAGAAACACTTTTTCAGGATTTCTCTTTGATATATTTGGTACTTTGTTTTTTTGATCACGATGGCAGTCATTGTTGTTCTTTGTCATCCTGATGTCATTTTTGAGTTGAGCCCTGCTGCCATTTTTAATGCAAGTTCAAACATACGGAACGACACAGTTAAGTATGCACATATTCAAAGTTTCTGACCATACATTCAAAGTTTAAAAGACTACGCTTTTTATTATTTTTTTTAACTTGGAAAAGTATATTAATGTGTTCCAAGTCTGTCTTACAATAGCTGCTGAAGCAACCAATGTATGACGGTATTAATAACAATAATTGTTAGGAGTGTTGGATTAATGGTTTTGAGAAAGTACATTGTGGAGAAGGTCTGGCTCCTTAAATGCTCAAATAAGTGTGTTTTTGGGAATAAAAAATACAAAAATGAGCTAAAATCATTCATAATCAATAAAAAAATAATTTAACAGACCGATTGTCTTCAGCTAAGTCATGACTATGTGCCCAACGTATACCAGCAACTATGATGCTGTCCCCAAAAGCTGCATTCATACTGTTTGTGAAAAAATAATTCCATCTGAATTGTTGATCCACTGCATTGTGTTTGTAACGGAGCACTGACCAGCCTGTGATTGGCTGCTGCCGTGGTAACGCCAGCATTGGCAAACTGACTAATGGTCTTCTGCACTGTCACCCCAGCAGGCAGGAGATGAGGACCCAGACTGGGGGCAGCCCTGTAACCGGTGTGGTGACCAGTGCCCAGGCTTCCGCGTGCATGGCTGGAGGTACGACCCGCGTCGGTCAGCCTCGTTCACTGTCACATTCGGTACGGTGGGAATTCTGCCATCAGCGGGAAGCTGAGTTACAAACATAAGTAGTGACGCTGAAATATAAAACACATCCCTGTGCTTTTATTCTGCTCCTTCTCCAGGTGAGGCAGGGTAAGGTCCAAGTAAGTGGTGTATATCCAGGGTTGGCCCAGTGTGTCTTTCCAGTGAGAACCACTGTCACTTTAGCTGCCTAATAATCTATCAGTTTGTAGTAATTAAGTCTGTGTGTTTCAGCAGTTTTGGTCCCTTTTCATTTTCATCAGATTGTATCTCTAGTTCAGTGTTGTGCGTCACATGTTCTGCCATTATGTGCCTGGACGTGTCAAGGGCTTCTCTGATATTTTAGGAACTGCATGGAAACTGCTTTTTAAACAAAAATCTCTTGAAATATCTTGCTTCTCCTAAAAATCTTGCCCCCGCCCCCCTCCTCCATTCCTTTGTCCGGTCTTCCAGTCCAGCTGGCTCTTTACAGCCCAGACTCGCTGACCAGAGCCAGCTGGGAAACGCTGCACTGAACACCAGCTATTTTCTTGGGTCTCCGTCAGATCTCTTACCAATAAATCAAATGCCTCCTTGTCTTACTGTTACTGCTCGCTCTTCATGGGATTTTGAGACACTTGTGAGTGGGAGCTGACATGCAGATACTCCTGGTGTAAGGCCTGCAACACCTCGAGATCCCGGCTGCAGCCAGTCCTCATTTCACACCTGTTGAAGTTATTATTGGGTTTCTGTGTTGGCGGCGACTCAGCGCCAGCACAAGGCTGGGTCTGGGTGATCTGTGGTCGCGCCTAAGCCAGCGGCAGGGGTGTGCGGCAGGGGTGTGCGGGCAGAGAGCCGGAGGGGTACGGAGGGAAGTGGTGCCTGTGTGTGGCATGCGGGCTCCTCCCCTCCCCAACTCCGCTCTGCTTTGTGTTTGGCATTTTAGGTCTTTGTCTTGGATCTCTGCTTCCTTAGCCGACCTGCGTCCGTTTAGAGCTGCCCATTTCTTCGAATAAACTCCAGTTAGGTTTCGTATTGCAAGTGACGGTTCTGAATGAGCCAATATCTTTTAAATGGTTTTATTGTCTGTTATGTGTGAGGTGATGCACCGCTTTCATTGTTTGTACAATATTATGAAGTCTCATTTACTTTTAATAAATGCCTGGTCCTCATACAATCTCTCAGGGTTTTAACCATATGCTGTTTTGTGCTATATAAACTGTAGGCCTAAATCTTTTCTTAATGATACCTTGAAATATATCTGTATAACAGCTGACAGTTATTTCAAATGGTGTTTGTTTACAGTGTTAATTCATTAAGTAAATTAATTTAATTCTGAAGAGCTCTGGCTTTAACAGTGACAGCCCTGAACTTGGGCTCCCCTCCAAGTGACAGTCCTTATGGTTTAATGCATGTTCCAGAGTAATCGCTCACACGGTGTTAAGTAAGCATTTAGAACTGAAACTGGCAACAACCTTTCTATAAGAGGTGCTGTGCAGTTTTTTCAAAGAAAAAATGTTTTCGCAACATGATTATGAATAAATCACCCCCAATTCACTATAGTGGCACACTTTACATCAGACATATAAAATAGTTGGTGTTTGTTGTGAGAGCAAACTAGGATTGACTTGAGAATGGTGTAAATACTGTAATTAAACTGCGTTCAGAGTTCTTTGAAAACGTGTTTATACATGTGTGTGTGTGTGTGTGTGTGTGTGTGTGTGTGTGTGTGTGTGCACATACGTCTTTATGTGTACTTATGTGTGTGCGTGTATTCACATATGTGTATTTTTCCTTATGTTTGTGCATTTGTATGGGTGTGTGTGTACACACATGTACATGCATACTTGTGTGTGTGTGTATGCATATGTGTATGTGTGTACTTACATGTGTGTGCGTGTGCTCGCATGCGTTTTTATATGTATGCTTGTTTGTGTGTGTGTGCATGTGCGCCTCCATGTATATGTGGGTCAGATATACATTACATTGTGGGGACCAAATGTGACAATAACCTGTTATTTTAACATAGTGGGGACCATTTTTTCAGTCTCCACAAGAGGAAATTCAGTATTATAAAAATCTGTGACTGCAATCAAAAAAGTAAAAATGCCAAAAGACTTGTATTTTGTTTGGTTACTTATGGTTAAGGTTAGGGCTGGGTAGGGGTTAAGGTTGTCATTGTTGGGATTAGGGTTATGCCAATGGATCTGTGTGTGTGTGCGTGCGTGCATGCATACCTGTATATGTTCATTTCCGTGTGTCCGTGCATACCTGTGTATGTGCACTTTCGTGTGTGTGTGCATACCTGTATATGTTTATTTCCGTGTGTGCGTGTGTGTATATGTTAATTTGCGTGTGTGCGTGCATACCTGTATATGTGCACTTGCGTGTGTGCGTGTGTATATGCATACCTGTGTATGTTCATTTCCTTGTGTGCGTGTGTACGTGCATACCTGTATATGTTAATTTGCGTGTGTGCGTGCATACCTGTATATGTGCACTTGCGTGTGTGCGTGTGTACATGCATACCTGTGTATGTTCATTTCCTTGTGTGCGTGCATACCTGTATATGTGCACTTGCATGTGTGTGTGTGTACATGCATACCTGTATATGTTCATTTCCGTGTGTGCGTGTGTACGTGCATACCTGTGTATGTTCACTTGCGTGTGTGCGTGCATAACTGTGTATGTTCACTTGCGTGTGCATGCATACCTGTGTATGTGCACTTGCGTGTGTGCGTGTGCTTCAACAGCATGCAGGAGTCCTGTGGATGCAGCTGTGATCTGCAGAAAGCTGAGACGGGATAGAGACGCTGCTGTAATTGAGTTAGTGGGTCGGCAGCGGGCCCCTCCTCCTGGCCCCTTCATTATTCTCTGTCTGCCCAGTCAGTGCAGCGTGAGGCCCATGCCGCTCCGCTCTTCTTCACACCAAGCTGAATCATTTGCTCTTCACTACTGCGTGTCTTTGCCATGTGCCTTGGTGGCCCTTTGACACTTCAGAATGCCTCAATATTCTCTTTCTTTTTTCCGGCATACCCCACATTCCTGTCACTCTGGCTGCCCGCCTCTCTAATGCCCTAATCCTGCCCGTCACACTACACTAACAAGATTAACCCCCCCAAGCCTCTGCTGCCGCTAGATCCGATGTGATAGTGCCGTCAGCCCATCTTACCCCTTTAGCCTAATAATAGCGGCTCTGTGTAATCTTCTGTGACTGTTTCAGGCCTGTTTTTTCTTTTCTTTTTTACACTTTGGTTTGAGATTCCTGCTGCGCATAAGCCAGCACTGTAATTATCACAGTTCATGTTGTGATACGCACTGTGCCCCACCTCCCCAGCACCCCCCGGGACACGCCACATGGCGAGTGTCAGTGGAGCAGACACCTGCAGTCACGCTAGAAGCCCCAGCGGTCAGCCCCTACAGCCTGGGGGGAGGCCCTGAGGTCAGACTGCGCAGCAGAGGTATCGGGTTAAACACCGTGGGAGCAAAAATCCCCCAGCCGGAAGGGAGTTTCACTAGGCGGACAGTGTAAGCTGGGAGGGAGCAAAAACCTGTACTGTCTGGGGGTCCACAAAGACCAGATGAAGAAACGCAATACTAGATGGCACAGTATTAGAAATATGCGTACGTGGGGCTATGATAGTGAATGAAAGAGGAGAAGACAGGGCTGAGATGGAGTGTTGCGCTGATGCGTGCTGCCATTGGATCTGTGTAGGGAGCCTCAGGCTGAGGCTTGCCAGTCTAATTTTTTAATTGTACTGAGTCAAAGGTGACGTTTCTCTCAAGGCATGCGTTAGAGAGTCGGCGTGTCTAGAAATAAACCTCGGACACCGTTTACAGAAGCATGAAAGAGCTCTGTCACCCATACATCTCAGCACTGATGGTTTTCAATAAATTAAACGTCCTTTCATTTATAAATATCAAGAAAATATAAACCAGTGTCTATCCATCTATCTAATTACTTATCCAAGCCAGGGTCATGCTCTTAAAAGTAGTTTTTATTTCTATTTAAAGGTAGCATGATTTTTTTTTGGAAACAATGGGGTTCCTTCTCCTTTCCAAATGAAAGGCATCTGAATATATTTGTACAGAAAAGTGGTTCAGTTGCCTGTTAATGGTAAGACCATGGTAAGTCATTCATTAATGGCTCAAGGTCAAGAGATCTTCCTGGTCTAGTGAGACCAAACCCTGGGACACTAGGCCCTCCCCACACATACAGCGAGTTTCTATTCATCTGTCACTCATTGAGGTCAACTCACACAAATGCTGTCAAATGCTTAGTGGCCAAAGATTGTTTTTTTTTTGTTGTTGGTTATTATTGATGAAAACTGTGGCTTTTAAGGAAACACTGTAATGCAATCGCTGCATGCAGAAAATGTTTATTCTGGTATTTTCTGATTTTTGGTGCTCCTGTTTGCGCAAAGTGAAAGATGTGAGCATATATCGGTGTGTCAGAGAGAGAGACTGACCAGCATTACTTCAGAGTCCACATTCAGTCCAGCAGGAAGGGTTACTGCAGGGCACTAACTTCTGAAGCCCCGTAAAGTGGGCATGTTGCAGGTTCTTGCTAGCAGTTTCTGGCAGTTTGTGTAGTGTGTGGGCTGTTAGCCCATGTGTATTATGTTTCTTAATTGCTATGGGGGAAAGAATAGTCTGGCCAAAACAATAAACCAGCACAATCCTTTTGTTTTCCCTTATTTTTTTATTTTGGGAGAACAAATGAATCCAGCCTGACCGCTAGTCATTTGTCCTTGTGCGGCCTTGATTGGCCTTGTAGCTTCTGGGTACAATAGCAGTAAAGTGAATGGGGGGGGGGGGCATTTTGTCCCATTGTGTTAGTCTTGCTTGATACTTGGGACGGGACACAGGCAGCACCTGAAACGCAGCACATTTATCACTTTTCACTCTGGGTTTTTCCAACATTGTTGACTCCTGTCAGCTTTCGCTTTCTAACTGGTGGCGCACGTGAGTTTCCC